TTGCAAATTGTGAGTAACAGAGCAGATGTGCAGGACACAGACAGTAAAAAACTGGTCTTTTTTACTTTCATATTTACCATTATTTAAAATGTACACAGTTGGACAAGCATTCCAGCGAGAACATTAAGAATATGTTTACAATTGTTTTATTAGCTATATAAAGTCAAGCACATCAACCATAGTTTCAAAATGAATGTTTTTAATGCTTTACTTTAGTTGTTCTGCCTCAATTTCAGATAAATATTTTGACCTTTGGGCCTGGTCTGGAAGTTGTACATTGAAAACCAAAACTGGTTCTATAAACTTCTGCAAAGAGTGAACATGCTTTGTTATCAACCACCATCAAAACCTTAATATATGGACTTTTTTAATACATGTGGCACATTTTGATGTAGCTGGAACTTTTTATTTGACGTATGTTGGAAAAATTCTCTCATTCTCTGAAGTTGTTTACTCTAAAGAACCACAACTTACAGCAGCTGAGTATTATATCTGGCATTTTAATTGCAATGTCAGATTTCAGCACATGTGACATACATAACATATTTATAAACATACATAGATGTATTCGCATGAAAACGAGTCACAGAAATTAGCTGCGAGCCGTGCTATCTGCTCGCTTTTATCAGTTCAGAAGAGTTCATCAAAGTTCAGCAGCTGTTCTTGAAGCCAACTGCAGCCTTCTTTCACACAGCACTCTTTGTTTCCACAACATATGGTTCATGGGCATCTAAGAGACACCACACAGCTTGAGATAAAATGGCGTTTTGAGAGACATTTGGGTTGTTTTGGGACATAACCAACCTTCTTGTTCTTAAGGCAGAGGGGAACAATGTTCTCAGCCACAATAATAAAAGCATCCATAAACTTTGACAAAAAATCTTGGACCGTATTATCATTTGAATGGACATATGGCAAATGTAATGGTGGTGGTGGTGGTGGTGGGGGTTAAAAGTTTCTGTGCATTTTTTAAAACTCTCCTGTAGCTCAGCAATAATGCCTTTCACCTTGTCAAAGTATTTCTCCTATGTTCTGAATAGCTTGGGGAAGAATTAGTATAGGGAGAATGTTTTAAGTCAATTTGATCTCACATTAGGGAATAAAATACTGTGGGGAGTGGTGGGAAGAGGCCACTGGTTCCCAGACTGACAAAATCAAATGTGGGTGGGTCTTCATATGTTGAACTGAATGAGACAGTTCATATCGATCTACTTAAAACAGCAAACTACATCAATAATTTCTACTTAGGAAAAGTAACTAGAATCAGATGAGCTGCCCCCAGTGGGTGATAAACTGTCCCATGAAATCATTAAAAATCAAATAATGAAGGATAAAATACTGTCAGTTTTTGGAAGCTTGCCAATTACCATTGGAATACTTCTTAAGCTCTCAGCTAACTTCATAGATAAATGTCGTATTTGAATTTTTGTTTTAATAAATGGATTTATCCAGATTTGTGGGAAAAATCAAAAGTTTTTCCAATGTCTAAAATTCCCAGAGAACCACTGCAAGATCAAGATAGCTGGTCCATACGCATCTTTCCTGCCTTGAGTAAGATGTTGGATGGAGTGGTTAAACAAATTCAACACTGTATTCAGTCAGATGTTCAGCATGCTTATGAAGAAGGTTACTCTCCATGTTCAGCACCGGCAGCTCTTACTGATGACTGGTTGAAGCAGACTGATAAAAAACGATTTGTAGTTTTTGTGTTTCTTTATTTCAGTTCTGCCTTTGATATTGTTCATCATGAGCTTTTACTTATGAAGCTCTCAGCTTATGGTTTAAAAATCAGTCATCGACTTCATGAGTTTAATGGTAACTGTTCAAACTTTGTGACTCTTGCATGTGGAATTCCACAAGGCAGCTGCTTAGGCCCTCTGCTTTATAGCATTTTTTATAAATGACAGTCAAAATTAATTACATAAGGCATTCATAACTGTATATGCAAATGATACAACTACAAACCAGATTCCAAAAAAGTTCGGACACTAAACAAATTGTGAATAAAAACTGAAT